TCCGGCACCAACACGTTTGCTTGGTGAGATAAATTTTTCTCTCCCCTAATCCTGGTATCATACTATACGAGTACTATATTATTTTCCACTTTTTCATTTAGTTGGAATCCTTTTTGTCGTGTAACATTTTGTCGTCAACATTTCGCATTGCAGCACATTAGCTGAGGCGCCTTCTCAAGCGTAGCTAACGTGCGCTACTGATACTGATCATGATGCTGATGACGAGGTTGCTGATGATAATGATGACCATGATGATGATGATGATGATGATGACGTTGACAATGATGGTGATGAGGTTAATGATGATGGTGCTGAGGTTGATGATGATGATGATGATGATGATGATGAGGATGATGATGCTGATGATGATGATGATGATGATGATGATGGTGATGATGATGATGATGATGATGATGGTGATGATGATGATGATGATGATGATGATGTCGAACTATGTACTCGTAAGGATACCACTGCAATTGTCGATTGCTTGTTTCGTTATACGTAAACTAGCCTATGACTTTCACCTCAGCTCAGGCTATCTCCACCTGATGAGTCCAAACCAGAACGAATCCGCTTGTCTTTTTGTGTCAATGTTGGGAAGAGCAAAACCGAATCAAGGCACTCCATCTTTAAACTTTTTACATTTGCGAATGTCCACAATATGCTACTGCGTACCAGTTAGTAGTCTAAAAACATTTACTTTTTACCGGTATTTATCCATAGGTGACATCACTGATTTATTAAATACATACCAAAGGTTCCCGCATCTGGGATTTCATGCGGTTAGGTTCCCGAACTCACTGTCTCTGGCCTGCACTTATGCCCCAAAACTTTCTTCATAATCATTCACCAGGATTCGTTACGGTGTATTTGAAGTCTTCATAGATGTCGAAATTTGGACAAGCTCACTATGAGATTATCATGGTAGATCAACTCGTGATGTCGTGTGAGGAAATTTCGTCAATTATTTCAATACGCCAGTAACAAAATCAGCAAAATGTAAATCCTTAGTAGAGAAAGCGTAATGTTTTTCTTTAGGAGCAGGGCGCAGAAGCGAATCGCTTTGAGAAATTCACTTTGGAAACCATAAAATTCTGATCAAAACACCGGAAACTGTTATGCTTACATCACCGAGTGAAGTCACGGTGTCAAGCCGCCCCGGGAAAATAAAAGGAAACAATAAGCATCAAAATGCTAATAGCAACAACAGGAATTGGTAAAAGTGTTCTGTTCTAACCCTAAGCTACCTTATATGTTTTGATAAATTTCGTAAAGTACGGCGAAGTATCCTTCTCGAAACACCTTATGTGGGCAAGAGCAAAATACCCAAAAAGCAGCTAATGCTCTTAGACGTCAATACACTTATGCTTTCCAGAAAGCATCGTCATCTCATATCATTCACACACAGCTCACTTTACGACCAGCACTTATCTACATCACCCTACTTCCTCCGATGTGCGGAAGCGACTGATTTCACTACGCGAGTGTAATTCACCTGGTCCGGACATCACACGCGCCAAGTCATTGTTAGTAACTGCCACGAGCTTAGCTAAACCATTATCACAATTATTCTAACGCCGTCTCGACGAGCTACAGGTCCTAACCATGTAGAAGCATAGAAGAACCACCCCATGTACAAGGGATGCAATCGTGCAGTGTCCGCAAACTACCACCCTATTACTCCTATTCCGGTATTCCTTAAAGTGGTGAAATCTGCCGTGGCAGATTCTCTCATGGGATGTATAGATAGGCGCAATATACTCGTGCAGGATCAGCACCGATTCCTTATAAACTGCTTATGTATCACGTATCCTCCGTTAGCCCTTGTTAGCCAGGCGATACCGATCGACACCACCTACCTCCATTTCTCCGAAACTTTTAATCGTCTAGACCACCGACTTCTTTTTCACAGTGTTCGGAGGTATGGGATGGCTGCTTTCCTTCTAGACTGGATACGTTCATATCTGCAATAACGCCGCTTGAATGTGAGAGTTCATGTCGATAGAGGTTCACTGTAGCCTCCCTCAAGACTAGGTACTAAGAATACGGTTATCTCGAGTGTTCACAGACAACCTCGCGGGAGTGTTGACACCAAAGTTACTACTCTTGGCAGACGATCTCAAGATTTGGTGGGCAATCAAGCGAGCGCTACAAGGCGATCTCACCAGGGTTCAAGAGTAGCAGGCTCAGAACATGATTGAGTCTAACTCTGTCAAGTGCAAAACAATGAACATACGCTACCAGAGCACTTAAGAATATCGGCTGGATGAGCATGTTTTGCATCCCGATTATCATCAGGTTGATCTTGTGCTGCTCATGCGGCACGATCTCGGATACTCATAACAGTTTGAGAAAGCAGTGAAAACAGCCAGTCAACGCCAGACCTAATGCAGCGGGCGTTTGGCTGATTTGATCCCACCTCGTTTTCGCAAATGCTGTACGCTTTTTTGAGGCCACATGTCGAATACCCCATCCAGGTGTGGTACCAATGGCAAAAACATGACCTCACTGCTCTTTAGAAACCACAACGGAGGACAACAAAAATGTTAACTGACTGATCCACCTCCCTTACCAGTTTAGACTAAAGACCAAAAGTTTTCAGTGGACAATATCGTCTTCCTCGAGGTGAGCTCATATTGGTGTATCAGATCCCCACGCTTGCCGATGCTAATTGAAACTCAGCCACAACACCTCACCCAGGGGCTGTCATTCGATGTTGGCGATACAGTATAGCCGGTTTGAATGCCATCGGAATGCTTTATCTATTCGTGTATCTCATCCTTGGAACTTACTTCCGCATTCTGTCATCTCCGCTCCTACGGTAAATGAATTCAAAACTCAACCTGATGATGCATTAGACCAGATACATTGGATTAGTTAGGTCATGTTACTGGGATTAACTATGTGTATATCATTGCTTTCCGGTAAGTCGACTGTTACGCATTTTTTGTTTTTCTGCATCGGTTTTGATCTCTCACTTTACCTAGCGAAAACTGTTTAGCGTCGAGTTTTATATCGTTGATAAACCCCATTTTCGAATCTTTCATTGTTCCAAACGGGATACAAGCGATTTTAGTGCAATAATGTCGATTGTACTTGAGGAAAACTTGCTAAAGTGGACGCAGTGAAGAGGGCGTAGGACTGTGTATCAACGGCCAACCTAAAAAGGGGTCAGTTGTACAGCAATTGGTAAATACGCAATGCGGCGGCTGGCTCAAAATCACCTACGAAAATTATACAAACTCGAGAGTCCATACAATCAATAATCTAGTAGTGCTTAGGAATGCAACAGGATTTCTTTTTAAAACTCCGACGCACAGGTGTAGTTTTATAGTCCCCTGTGGTATTATATAAAACGCACCATTTGAGGAGTTGTGAACTAGACAATGGTTTTACTTCCGCAGGTGACAGTATTCCAGGCTGCACAGTATTTCAAATATTGATGAGATTCATATAACAACCCCCGGAAAATGCTATCATTTTTCATTCACTGAGTTTTCATAGTTCACCAAATTTTATATTTTTGAATCCAGTCAAACGCTTTTATCTAGCTTGCACTGTCCTTCACATTTTCATCTGCTCTTGGGTTAACACTGTCTAATTGGTGATGTAGGGGTTTTTTGTTCGCACATAAAGCTTCCGCAGATACGTACTAAGAAAACCCCCCACATTTGGTAACAAAGCATTCAATAACCGAATGCCAAACCTAGTTTTCCCATGAAAATCTGAGCAACCAACCGACGTCCTAGTGTATGAAGCTATTTCTAGCTTATTTACCCATTTCCGTCAGTTTAGATTTAACTAGTCTAGTGTGCAACCGAGGCTACCCACCTGAGGGTAAGTAACCTGTTCTAGTGGAATTGAGGCACCTGGAACTCAATTGATGCAATCACTTAGATGCCGATAAGAGAAAATCACTGCTGAGCTAGGGTTCCTCACGTGAGCCATACTCGAGTATTTTCACAAGCCGAGTTGCTAATTTTCTCCCGGGTACATATGTGGTATGCCAATGAGATGCGTTCTTTATCGAAATTCAAACTCAAATAATATTCGACGTAAATAGCTGAATTATGTAATAAATAGAGATGCCGCGCTGTAATGGTATTGATCCAAAAGGCCCACCAGGTTCAAGAGATTGTTTTACATTCCTTCCTGAGTTGCGCACGACGTGAGGCGCGGTGAACATATATAGGCGGTTGTCGTCAACAATTATTGTAGTATATAACCATTGCGACGGGTACTCCAAAACCGACTTTGAGGGAGTAAATATGTTGCAAAAACTTTTACCTACAGACACATAATGGGTGATGGCAGTGAAAACACCTGCCTTATTTCAACTGTGCTCATAATGGCTTCCTGTTGAGCTAGGTTAAATAAACTAAGGCCTAATGAAGCTTTTGTGTCAAAAGCGAAACGTTGTCCAGCACCATAAATACATTAACCGGTCGTCTACCAAGTTTTCTGAAATGACAAACTAAGGCCTAATCACGTACGTTAGGTCAGCTGATGCAGTTACGAACATAAGTATGCAAACTCTTATGGCTGTTGACAAACACATCAAAGAGCCTTAAAATTGCCATGGAGGTCCACCTGTATGATGTCCAGAATTAGTGGATCTATATCCGAACCTGTTGTAATTAAGCTATTGTGCATTGATTCGTACTAGAAAACTAACCCAAATTAGTGCATTGCATTACCAATAATCGTATGATAAGGGACGTCATGAGGGACACTTTTCTCCGATATTTTATTATGAAAGCATCAGTTCTCGGTGCAAAATGTTAAACGAAACAGTAACCATTGCTTACGTGCTGCTGCAACTGTCTAGATTGAACTTTTCCAGTTTCGATTACGCGACTCCACAAAATGATATATGAAACTAAATACAATGTACAACTTGCCGGTATTCGTTCAGTTACGACCATAGTATTATTCAAGGATCAAGTTTCTTCAATGTGTGTCCACACGCCTCCGTGGTTGCGTGGTGAAGATCCGCTGATATTTCCTCTGGAAGCAGTTAGACTACTTCTTATAGAGTCCCTTGTTCCTCTGGAGCCCAAACCGTCAGAATTTGAACGTGCATCCTGGCAGTCGTCAACAGCTGTGTACCTATCCATTGCGATCCCAACACTACCTGAATTCCCAGAGTTCATCGAGTTATGCCTACGCCAAGCACCAATCAAGATTACTGGGTCTGGTATACTTGCATCTAGACAATATCTCTCCTCCCCCACGCATTGTAATCGGCACTTCAACCCTGCATGTTCTCCAACCAATACTGCGTCGTTTGCCAGGAGCCTAGCCCTTCTTTGCTGTTGCTGCTGCCTCCTTCGCATGATATGTCTCATTTGGGATTCACTCATATTTTCTGGGGGGGCTTTCAGCGCATGCACGCGTGCCGACCGGCTTTGCGCCCGTATACTTCGCGCTCTTTCAACATTCTGAAAATCCAGTTCTTCAGATGGTCTTCTAGGTAGCCCAGCGCTAAAACAAGCACGCTCCATCTCCGAATCTGTCGGGGCCTCAAATCTATCTACCAAAGAAGCATGTCCTTCTCTCTTCCGAGAATTGTGGCGTCTCCATACAACAAAAAAGAGTACAACAATGCTCACGAACACGACAAGAACAGCCAGCATCACCAATCCAACCGTCAAACCACGGCTAAAGCCAAACTTTCGAATCTCCTGTTCTCTTTGAGCCTTGGAAATAAGGTTTCCTCGAATAACAGGCAGCACGCGGTGGTTTTCATTCCCATTGAAGCTTGCCTTTTTGACTGGATCCCAATGGCCTTCTGTTCGCACCATTGGGGTTGCTCGGGTCACAAATTGAACACTCGAAGCAGTGTCTTGTGATGCACCAGTGGTTACTGTGGATGCTAGATGGAGACTGCTTGTCGGGAACATGGAAGCTATTTTCTCAGACCTAGTATATTCTTCCTGTAACACCCTAAGGACAGAATCAGTCGCGATGACTTTCCGGATAACTGGCGATAAGACAGACTCCGTATACGGTTCAGATTGAACTGATGCTGCAAGTGGTCTTTCCGGTTGTGTGGGTTTCATAGTGTCGAGGTTATCTGGTAATGTGAATCTAGTAGTTGTAGGTGTCGTGGTAAAGTAGCCTCGAACAATGTCAGCTGCAGCATCCGACCTACCGGTTATCGCTATAGAAGCTATTGGAAACGTGGATGGTTGCTGCACCTTCGCGGGTTCTATAGACGTCTGTTCTACAGTGCCGAAAGCCTCAATCGTTGATCTCATATCACTTGGTATTGTAGGTAGTATTTGAGCCATGGTGAATATGGGCCTCTCTGAATCATTTTCTGTACCTGTGACTCGTTTGCCTGAGTAGTATGATCCGGTGATGATCCCTTCGGAAGCAGCACGCAAAGAGGAAGGTTGAGCCGGTGAACTAGTGCTTGCATGTTCCTTCATTTCAGTGCTGCAAATATGCTTGGTTTCATAATGGGGTACCTTATCAGTCGAAGCAGAAGATGGGGACACACGCAAAACATTCTCCTTCAGGCTTGAAGATAGGTCAGGATCTGTTGTTTTGTCGTGTGGGCTCGAGGTTAGCCATTCGGGAACAGTAAAGCTAGTTTCATGATCACCTGTTTTCATATTGTGGTCAACTGTGGCCACTGTAGTTCCCAGGACGATCACCTTAGCGATATTAGCATCAGTAGATGCAGCGGCTGCATCTTTCTTGTCTACTCTATCTATGTCAGTTTCTGAAATTAATGGTGTTAACAGCAGACTTGTTTTGATCTCAACTGGCTCTGATACCAACATAATTGGTTTTTGGGTGATTGAACTCGAAGTAGATTCATGAGGGTAGATTACTTCACTGGATGTTTGGAGCCTAGTAATTTCGTCATTTTTAGTGTCAAATCCATCCTTCCCAACCGAAGGGATAGGCAATTCCTCCTTTTCACCAGTGCCTGCGGTCGATTTATCGGAATCCGTCACTTCGCTGACTACTCTAACAGCCACAGAGACGTTGTCCTTTGAGGACTCGGGAAGAATTAGCTTTCCTAGAGGATCGTATGTTGTTAAATAACTTGGAATTTGCACATCATCCTCGTTAACTTGTGTGCTTGGCGCGTCTGTGTAAATCGCATCACTCCTTTTCAATGGTACCGTTGTGAGCAATTCCTCCGAGTGAGTTGAAGGTTCTATACTGCAGGCCTCCGTCACTGTGTGAGATTCCATGGGTCTACTGTTGGTGTTTTCCGAATTCACTTTATCCTCACCATTCACAGAAATGCCTTGATTCGGTGAAGTGGTTGATGTGATCAGAGGAAGAGTGGGTGCACCGTTTGGGTCTACTCCAAACTCGTTAGCATCGGTTTCGACGACAATGTGCTTCTGTTCTTCCTTTTTGCTCTCGCTCAAAGTCACGAACGGGGTGGTTGCCTGCGGTGCCTGCTCTGATGTTAAGCTCGCTAAATTGGCTGGCTTTATTAGATCGGCCATTAATGATGTTGCCCCAGGAGTTAACATGTCTGTTTCTAAACTGACTTCGGATGACGCCTCTACCCTTGATGGAGTCATCGTTGTTGAAATCGACTGAGCGTTGTCGTGATACACCGTCTCCATTTCCACCATGGTCACTGTAGTCGTGGCTTCATTATGGGCTCCTGGTAAGACATCAGTAAATTCTGGCTCTAATGGTAATGTTTCCAAGGTGGTGACACTTGGTAAAACTGTAACCACAGAGATGCTATGGTCAAATGTATCTGAGTTTACTGATGCACCGGGTAGCCCGGCGTTGAAAGACTCAGGTGTATTTGATGATCCTGTTATTGCTTCAACCGGGGTCTCGTAAGGGTCAAAATTCCATTCAGAGCTCAACAAGTTGTCACGAAATTCGTCAGAATCTTTCAGTGAATACATTACATCAGAGATCATATCAGTTGAGCCTGAAAGCGTTGAGCTGGAACTCATAACGTCTTCTGATGTCTGGGGTTTCATCTGCCGTGATGAACTGTGTGCCAGGATGCTGTGCCAATCATGTGGGGATGAGAGCATAATCGTAGTGGAGGATCCAGTTTCTTCCGTAGCATAGTTTGTTAAGTTTAGCAACACCTCCATTTTGTCAATCGTCGTACCTTCGGAGGTAGATATTATTTCCGTGGTTGACTGGTTTATTTTCAATTCACCTGGATCTGGCGCATTCAATATGGAATCATCCGGCTCTTTACTTATGATAGCCATATTCGAGTGAGAAACAGCTACCGTGGTTAGTGTATCTGTCGAAATCTTTTGGCGTGTAAGTTCATCTCTCTGTTGTTTGATAGATCGCCATAAGGGATATACACGACGCGGACGCTCTGTATTTCCTAATGTTTCGCGTTTGAGGATCTGACACCGAGCCACATAAAGAGCCTCACATGCGAGCACGGTAATCCACAGGCACAACCGCATTATTGTCATGTGCATTAAGAATGCCAATTGTAGCAGCATCAAACGTTGGGTCAGACACCAGCGGCGCTGTATTGGCAAGACCAAATAGCGAATGAGAACAGCAAACGAGGCCGCGTCTCCTCCATCGAAGTCAAGAGTGCGTTCCAACCGAAGTGGACAAAGTGGGTAGTCTAGTCCGCATGTGCTGTCCGTATTGCATCAAATTACCATTCACGCACAGCCAGCTGGCCAGAGACATGAGTGAGCCAGAGAGAAAAGGTGACCACCAATTTTTGGTCTGAATACATTATCATAAGAAATAACAAGCGAAAGATGCTGCACTCTACCTAGGAGCATTATTCAACCGGAGACGAGCAGTTACCTAGAAAGTATTTTAACGGTTTAGCCACGAAGCCATTAGGCCACTGAGGGCAATACTACCAATGTAAGGAGGCTGTTGTGGATGAAAAGTGATGTCATTTTTCGAAGTATAACCTTTGTGTTACTGCGTTTCTTGTACTTCACTGCATATTGCATGAAAATGAGTTTTTCTCTGACAGACTGGTGAGCTGAACGCAGCATAAAATTCCAAGTGATACAGCCTATTTGCGTACTTCTCCAACGAACTTTCATTAGCCAACTTCAGTTTCTGCAAGTGGAGTTAGGCAGTTTGGTCCGAGTGCCTCCGTGGGTTAAACACTAAGACAATTGGTCACGTGGCCTCATGTTTGCATTTGGAGCAGCCCTGCTCACGACTTAATCAGAAATTGAACGGACAGTGGGTTATTCTTAGGACTGCCGATACAGACTGAATGCATACGCAGCTGCTCAAATAATCGAAGTTGGTATGTGGACTGGTGTGTCTGCGTTTGTGGCCAAGATTTTCTCATGCTAAGTCTTTCATAATGCAGCGTAGTAGCAAATGGACCTAGAAGGTTAGGTGATCTATATAATGATACCTAGTAATATGTATGGTGACGGCGAGCACACAGAAAACAAACATTATCGGTGACCTCATTCAACTACCAATACCAAACCATGCATCACCCATTTAACCCATTAAGTGAGTTCGGGTCTTAAAAACCTTGTTATTTCTGATATAACCCCTAGTACAGCTTGCAAGCATACATACGTCTTGTGAGCGCTCACTTTGAACTGCACAGTTCGAAGTCACGTGGCGCCAGATGATTCTGATAGTGTTCATGTAGTTCTAACAAACTGTATGGAGGAATTAACATTTAATTCAGCCTATAAACTGCGAGGGTCACAGTCCGCAAGCGTTTAGTTATACAGGGACGTGGTGGTCTATCGACCGCATCAGTGCATAGAAGCCTAGTCATCAACCGGTAGGTTTAAATTTAGGTATTCAAGCGGTGTGAGTCTTAAATAACCACAGCACCCAAAAAGCACATCAGGTAAAGGTAATAGATTGCTGGGAAAGTAACCGCGTTGTTAAATTTTTCACAACCAAGCGCACTTAAACCGCATATTCATTAGATATTTTGACAGCTGATTTAGCAGGGATTACTTGTGAAAAAGTTCGATTTCTGGTAGGCAGTAGTTTTTGGTTGATGCCCTTTCAAATATGGGAAGTGAAAAGCAGTATTTTCGGCATATGCTGTTCAAGTACGAAAAAATTACCTGATGTGTATGGGGAAGGTGTGTTGACAGAATTCCATTGGCAAAACTAGCTTGCAAATGTTTATCCGGCAATTTTGATGCTGAAGTTTCACCAGATTCTGAAAGGACAGTCGAAGCTGACGATGACACAATAAAGGCGTTATCTGATGCAACCCGGCGAATAACAACTCGTGTGATCGCTAAGTGATAAAATTCATCGGATTCGACTGTTCATGATCATTTGAAACGCCTAGATTTAATCTCAAGGCTCGACATATGCGTTCCTTCGTGTACTTAAGGAAAGAAATTAGTGCCGTGGCTTTAACGTCTGTGATTTGCTTTCGAAGCGTCAAGAAAATCATCCATTTTTGAAGCGTATCATCAATGGGAACGAGCAATGGGTTGTCTACAACAATGTTAAAAGAAAGAGATTATGGGGTATAAAAAGATGAACCGGCTCAAAGCAATTCGAAAGCCGATATTCATCAAACAGTTGATACTAGCTGTTTGGTGAGATTTCAAAGGAACCGTTTCTTTGAGCTTCTACAGGACAACACAACGATCAATTTTGAAGTGTACGGTCATCAGCTGGATAAATCCAACGATTCATTTACACAGAAGCAGGCCAGAATTGATCAGTGGAAAAGTTGTAGTGTTCCACCAAGATAATGCGAGACCCCATACAAGTGTGGTTACTTGCCAAAAGCTTTCACAGCCTGGATGAGAGATATTGCCACGCCCATCATATTCTCCAGATCATGCACCTTCTGGTTATTATTTTTACCAGATTAAAAGTATTTTAGACGATAAAACCTTTAGCTCAAGCGAGGAGGTCAAAAATCAGCTGCACCAGTTTTGCCAGCAAATCATAACAATTTTATGTGCGTGGAATCATACTACTGCCAGGAAGTTGGAAAAAGCTGTTGGATCATAATGGACAATATAGACTTCAATAAAATATTTATTCACTATAAGCGGCTCGCGACTTTTCACAATCTGTACCGTGAGAAGTGTGTAGGGGAACAGAAATTCGAAGCATAGAAGGCTATGTCAAACTAAAAAAGGAACTATTTTATAGAGCACCTCAAGAGCCAGTAAAACACAAAATGAATAAGGAGCAATTTCAGAGATCACGAAATGGTGAAAAAGCATCAAAGCTATGGTTTCCAGGCTGCAGGCTGAAATCCAAAATGATATATACATATATATATATATATATATATATATATATATATATATATTGAACGGAATAACCCTTGGCTGGCTAATGATTGTAGAAGCTAGGTTTTGAGAGATTGTTGACCAGCTGCTGTTCTAATTCTGCCATGGACTGTTTTCCTGGACGCATACTCTGGGAAATCGCTGGGTGGGAGCAGCTTTGCGCCCTACTTCTGGTTAAGAAGCAGGATACATCCGCGTGAGTCGGTTAATTCACGGCACATTTCAAGCTGCCTTTCAGGAATGCAGGTTATTAACCCGGAAGGGAACCGACCACTGGTTAGTTCGGCGGAGCTGTACGCCATCGGACGCATCCCCAAGTTGCAGCTCGGGGAACGTCTTCCTTGCAAAGGTAACTGTGTATAACTCCCGGATGTTTCTAAGCGAGATGAATAGGCAGTTATGGACAATCAGCGGCAGAACCATAGAGTGTCGGGTGTTCTGAGCTTGCAACCTGATTCCTACAAAAACTCGTAGGATGTTTTGTAAAAGTTAAGGTGACTGGCTATAGGGTCCCTGACTATTCACATCTGTAACCAGAAGTATTCAACTGAGAGCAGATGAACAACCTCAATGGCCTCAGCTTTATACGAAGGCGTATGAGCCATATGGCTATCAGCGTCACTCATCATCGCCAACTAGTTAGGTGGTTTAGGAAATTACTCCTGACATTCGCACAGCTTCACTTGGGCTCCTTGGCCGTTCTGAATACTTTGTTCGTACTCGAAAGCTGTGCTATTCTCATCGTGGTAACCGGCTGCCAACGATTTTCAACATATGCCAATCTCCTCGCCGCCTAATGGGTCAGGTCTTTATGATCCAAATCTCAGGGGGTCGCCTGAGTCTACTGTCTTCTGCAGCCTGGGTAACTGGAGAACCCGATACCCACACAATTCATGGATCAATGTTTCAATGACTCCGCGCCTCTCTCTCTCTGCTCACTGAAAGTGATACACTCGACCGAGATGCTAGCGGCCGAACACGTTATGTCGCGCTCTATCGCACCACTGTTCAGTTACGTTATTCCATATTTGTTCAGCTCCGCAACCTTAGTATTCCCTCTGCCTCTTCCGAGTCCACAACGCTGTGGAACTTGGGAGAGTGCTTTCGCCATACGGATCAGGAACTTAGGTCCAAAAGTGTGTCGCCAAGTAGTAATGGCAAGCCATTTTGCATCCCTTCGTTCCTAATTCCAACTGGCGACTTTTAGCCCTCGGACACTAATACATATCTGATCATAGACAGCGCTTGCTCACTAACTGGGTAATATGACCACATCTACCCACTGCAGCATTGAAACCTTACTACAGCACGATGTTACAATTTATTTCACGGTCTACGATTTCTGTGATCACTGGGCCTATCTGGAGACACAACCACTGAAGACGCCTGTCTTGACGGTGTAGGAATTGCATTCAAAACACATGCTAAGGCCGCGCTCCTAGACAGGGTCCCTGTCCACACTCGACTTCACGAGGTTCGAGCTGAAACTTCAGTGCGATTCTTCAGCTGTGGAAGTTGCTTTTCTTCGTAGCACGGACAGCAGCCTTGAGTCATTTAAAGACGCGTTGTACTGTCAACTATCCGGCATGCTGTAAAATATTGTCGGACCAACATCGTAGTGCTTGCTGGGGACGTATTGTCACAGACGGCGCAGATTTGGTTGACGAACGTTCACTCGGTGGTCAAAAAGCCGCAGTTTTTACAGAACAGACAACAGCGATCTCCTACCACAACTTTGCTCCGAGCACGGCCTCCTTCTTTGAGGATTCGCTTACGGTGATACTTGTGCCAACGCGCCCCCAGGCTCATAAACTACCCAGTCGTGGACACAAATCGTCCACAACAACATCACCAGTTATCGCTGGCGAGGCAACATACAAGTCCGCAAATAAATCTAGAGACCTCACCGCACTTCGAATCACGCACTCGCGTGTGCCTAGATCGTTCTAAATTTTTGTGAATCCCAACAGCGTCGTCGCAATCGGCGTGACGGGGCTAAGCTATCTGCCACGAGCGATCTCAGCGCTTTCAGGACATCTCGGCCTCAGGGCTCCAGAGCGCCTCATGCTCAGACCTTAAAACGCACTGGGCACACATCCGTAACGACCCTGGTCTGCGATTTCACCATTAGTACTGTCTACCACTGGATCTCCGCACGATCCATCTAACTCATCGTAGTTCATCCAGCA